ATCATTATTATGGAGTTTTATTGCAATAAGTTTTCATCATTTATCCTATAAACTAATTGGATTTTTTGTTCTAATGTTAGCTAGTCTTAGTTAACAGAATTGTTGTTGTTGTTGTTGACATAAAATGAAAATCGATTCATGTTTTTGTGAATTTTACAAATAAGTTTAGTGACCTGTTTATTACTGGCTTATATTTGTTAACCTTGAACTATTACATTGTACTAATTACTATGGTAGCAACTGGGTAACAGTTGAGACTTTTTCTTGCATTCCATTAACAAACAATATTTTGATTGGTTACTTCAATTAGGGAGAACAATATTAAGTTTTTAAAAAAAACCAATGAAATTTCTATTTTCTTCGGTTTCTTTCAAAATAGCTTTTCTCATTAGAATGAAATTAATTAAAAACCAGGAAACTAATATTAAACATAGATGTTTAGTCCTAGTTCAATATTGCTAATTATTGCAGAGCTATTTCCTTTTAAGACCATGGGATCATCTATGATTCTTATATTCTTCTATTTAGCTTTTCGTTCGGAATTCATTTATTATTGACTTTTGATAATCTCTTTTGTTCAGTCATCTATCTCACATCTGGACGAGGTTTCTTGCAGCACTGATAAATAAAGCGAAAAGAAAACTTTGAAGATATTTTAGTTGACTCTAGACGATCACTTCTAATGAACCACAACTAATATAAAGCCTTATTTAATCATTTCCTTCTAGTTACAATCAAACATTTAATGAATTTCACTTTTCCAATGAAAAAAAAAACAACTTGTAAATATTACATCATTCTATATTTAAAGGTTATAAGCAAGGGATAGTTAGGATTGTATAGTGTTCTAAGCTTTTGGTTTTAATGATTATTATTATATCTACAGTTAAAGAAAACCATTGCTTCATGAAGCAAAATAAAGACAATTTGACGAAGAGAATTTTCCTTTCGACAATTTCATTTACTAAAGCTGTATGATCGTATTTATAATCATTGTTTAGATTTGGTAGTGTTTAATAGAAATATGCTTGATTAGTTTTTAGAAGCCTTTTTAATGATGTATCGACTTTCTATTTTAAATGTTGAAGTTACGCAATAACCAAGGGTTAATAAGAAAATGGTAATTTAACGATTTAAGCCTGATCAGATGTGATATGTTCTGTCCATTATTTTACCACGGTACTGACTATTCTTCTAATTTTGTAAGTTGTTTCTAATACGTGTTTGTCTTTTCTTTATCTTCTCTGTGCTGAACAATTGTCTTCTGTTTCTTTCTTCCATATTTTATTTCAATTTCACTTCCTTCTTATAACCATACAGTTATTACGTAACTTAGATTCAACACCTAAACATATTTTTGGTTAATTTTCGTTAATCTTGTTAATGATTTTATTATGGGCAACTGTTTAGAAAATAACTACAAACATAATTGTACACTCTGAATAAATAACATCATTTCAAAGATGTGTGTAATTTTAATACAGTTTTGATTACTGAATAATAACACCGTTGAATGTCGGCTCAATGATCGAGTGAGACTGACAGGTCCCGGGTTCGAATCCCGTGGGCGGTATCGTGGATGCGCACTGCTGAGGAGTCCCAAAATAGGACGAGATGGTCATCCAGTGCTTCCAGGTTTTCCATAGTGATCTAACTTCAATTAACTCATGATCTAATCTATTGAAATGACTACAATCTCAACAAAACCCCTTCTGAATAATAACAGAAAAATAAATCATAAAGTATTTAATTAAACATTGTTTCATTCTAATTTGAAATTCTTCGTCAGTGGACGACCTTAGTCTCATATCAAACTATCTAATTACTTAGTAAGTGGGTATCCATTAGTTTATCGTAATATATATATATATATATATATATATGTATAGATAGATCAAGTAAGAAAGAAAAACAAACACTTGTAGTTGAATAATATGAATCTATTTATATAATGAATTTTCTTCATCTGTTTATAATATGAGAATGATAATATGAAGTATTTAATAAAATAGTGTACATACTATATAAGGTAAATAAGTAAATACCTTTTGTCAGTTGAATAGATAATACTGTTGGCTCAAAGAATTTATGACCGATGTTGGAATTTTTTCGTTTTCCTTTTGTATTTTTATTTTCATTTTGATTATTGTAGATTTTAAGACAATCAATCATATGCTTTTCAGAAAAACAAAATTCTAAATAATAAATTAATTTGAATATAATTGTTGATAAATATTTGTAAATCTATGACATCAACATTGATAATGTTAATAGTTGATCTTATTAAGTTTCTTTATATTATTATTATTATATTCTTACTAATTAGTTATATTTATATAGTTGAAAGCTAAATAAACAGAAACTAAATGGGGATTACTCAGTAAATCAGTCAGTAACAACGTAGAACTCCGTACGTACGTACATCAGTTCGAGTTGCCATACCACATTAGCACAGAGATGCAGTGGTCCATTCAAATCCCGTATTGGTAGAGCTGGTAAGACTATAAGTAGTAATCGGGAAGATTAGGGTTTGAAGATGTTATTCAAGGAGTATAATCCAAGGAAATAAATTTAGAAAGAGAAAGAAAGGGACTTGAAGAATTCAGAAGGTTAGGGTTTGTGATAACACAAAGAGTGTATACAACCGCACCATTGCAAACGATTTTGAGCTATGTCATTCAGGGTCTCTAACCATCGGTTGCTATCATCTCGCGGTCCCCAACCAGATAGTCTAAACCTACCAACATGACTCAGTCCACTTGTCAGTGACTTCATGGATTTGTGCTATGTTTTGGTCTGGCCGCCCCTAGATTTCTTCCAACCTACTCCTATACCACTGAACATCGCACGTCGAGGTAATCGGTTGTTAGGCATACGTAACACGTGTCCCAGCCATCTCAACTGATGAAGTTTCACTACGTCATCAATTGATTCGCCATCCTTATCTAGTACCCGTTTCCTAACAACTGCGTTACTTACTCGATGGTCCCATGATATACGAGCAATGTTTCGAAGACACCTATGATCAAATACTGGTAACCTACGAATATCATCTACTCTTACCGGCCATGTTTCATTGCCATAAAGTAGGACGGAACGAACTGCTGCGCAGTAAACACGTCCTTTGGTTGATAGACGGATATTTCGCCTACGCCATAAATGACACAAGTTGGCAAAAGCTAGTCGAGCCTTCTGTATCCGTGCTGAGATTTCGTCACACACCAGACCACAAGGGCTGATGAGACTTCCAAGATAAGTGAAGCGGTCGACACACTCAACTACTTCACTCCCTATCACTAGTTCGGGTGTCGATGTAACCCAATCCTGAAGCAACATTTTGCATTTCGAGGGAGAGAATCGCATCCCGAACATGCTTGCATTGTTGCTTAGAGTGGTCAGAAGACTCTGCATTTTGTCAGCATCTTCACCAAATAAAACTATGTCATCTGCATATTCCAAGTCAACAAGTGAATCTCCCGGTACAAGTTCAACCCCTGTATATTTAGATGAGGAGAGTGTTATCTCTAAAAGTACGTCAATGACAAAGTTGAACAAGAATGGGGAGAGTGGACAGCCCTGACGAACACCACTTGAGGTGATCAATTCTGATGACAGTTCGCCATAAGCTCTCACTCTACCAGTTGTGTTCGAGTAGAGAGCCTTTATAAGGTTAATATACTTCTTTGGTACTCCTTTCAGTGACAAACACTGCCATAGAACCTCACGATCAATAGAGTAGAATGCCGCCTTAAGGTCGAGAAATACTACCATTGTGGGGCGTCTGAATGTGTGTCTGTGTTCTAGAACCTGACGTAATGTCAATATCTGGTCTATACAACTACGTCCAGGTTGAAAACCAGACTGGTTTTCTCTAGTCTGCTCTTCACGAGCTTTGGTTAGGCGTCGAAGTATTATTGAAGCTAATACTTTAGACACTATATTAGTCAAACTGATTTCTCTGATTGTCACAAGAGGACTTTTGTCCTTTCTTACAGACTGGCACAATCAGTGATTGAGACCAGTCAGATGGGATTACGTCCAGTTCCTAGATGTGGGGGTTGCTATCATTTAATAAAATTTGTCTATGCCTACTATATGGTAGTTTATTTTGGTTTTATTAGTTTCTGAACTTAATGGAAATAATGTGTAATCAGATTTCGTTTTTAACAGTATATATGTTGATATAATATTTTTTTGAATTATATTTTAATGTGTTTAATTATGGAGCCCAATATTAAACTTTGTTTTCATTTATTGATATTTGTTAAAATGTATTGTGGATCCTTGAGGAAATACACATCATAAAGTTTCTTGAAGTTTATTTTATGAAAAGCAGTTTATGGTGTTACTGTTGAACAGTTGGAAATCCAACAGAACCTTACTAGATGAAAGTTAGTTGTTAGATAATAATCAGTGTTCTGTTGTACACTTCAGTGATGAATGGATTCATTCCGTAGCCACAAATGTTTTTGCCATTTCTCTTAAAATTTCTGGTAGTCTATATAGTACCCTGTGCTGTTACATGGTTTTAGTATCACTTTAAATTCAACTAAAATGTAACTTAACTCATCAACTAACTATTTTGTCAAATACAATTAACTACAAATACGATCGTATAGCTTTAGTAAATGAGATGATCCAGAAGAAAATTTTCTTTGCTTAATTTTCTTCATCATTCTTCGGTGACACTACTCGTCTTTCGTTATTTATTTGGCTACCTAAATTTAAGGCCTCCTTGTTGAATGAGAAAAAAAAAACTGCCCATCTATGAAAATTGAATCAGAAGGATCGGCATTTGAAACTATTATTTATTTTAAAGTCTAGAGAGATAGTGAGTCTAAACTATTAATTCACGGATTAGCCTAGATTCTAAATGTTCGATTTAGTTTTTTTCAAAATAGTCGAAGTAATTTTGGAAGTTTAATTGTATCATTACGTAAGTCTTATTAGATACTATTAATAATTGTTAACCATTTCCAATTTCTATCATTGTTTTGTAGGTTCTGATTGGTCATTCATGCAATTCGATAGAGATGATGGATATCCAAGTCGCCCACATTCGGTAGCTGGTCGACGATCAGACACTGAATGTGAATATAAATCTCGTTCACCTTCTGCAAACAGTGATTATAACTGCTATAGCTCTCATTGTAGTCTGGACAGATACAATGAGCCTCCCGTAAGATCCAAAAATGCCAACAAATCATCAAAGAACAAAAATTTGTCTGGGACTGTTCCTGAAAATACAGCAATTCCTATAACATCAAAAACCGAAATATTAAAATCTCATCCGCGTAATGGATTACGACCTGGTCATATACATCAGTCCTCCGCTAGAAATTCCAATGGAACACGTCAAGCGTTGGCACGTTGGAATGCTTGTCGTAAACAAAATAATCATACAAACCTATGCGTTGATTCTCAACGTTCCAAATGTTTACGCCGTGGTCCACTAATCAATCATGGTTTTCAACGTCGTCAAGTTCGTATGGGAAACGGTGGTCATATACCTCATCAAAGAAGTTAATAAAAAACTAAGAAACTAATTTGTTTTTTGTGATATTTTGCTCCTACAACGTTGTAACAGCGGATATTTGGTGTTCAGTTTGTTTGTCACACTGATATAGTGACAGTAATAGCTTACATATGATTCTTCTAAATTACTTAGTGTCTTAGTGTTATAAATAAAAAAATAAACACGAAAAATATACACTCAATCAACAGCTATATTCTATATCAAAGTTTAGTTATTTTACTCATTTTCCGTGTGTTCTATCTGTTCTTCGGAATATTCATATTTTTCTTCTGCAGATATACTAGTCACATTCTAATGACTGCTACATTTAAACCTATTCCCCACATGTTACCCATAAAAATATATAGACATGGGTCATGAAAATCGCTTCTTCCAGCTATAATATTTGCGATATTGTGTCCTATTGGTTTGTTCTATTATTTGTTTATATTTGTGTGTTAGTTATTATATTGCTATATTTGATGTAATTGTAATATGTTTACTGGTTAGTAGTATATTTTCAATAATTTGTTTGGATTGCTTTCTAATATATTTATTCTATGGATTTTCATATTTCCATTTGTATCTATATGCAGCTGGAATATATGTTAATTAGTCCCTTATATTTTCTGGTGTTCTTGTTGTACTCACTGATATTTGTTTATTTCTAGTGCTCTTCTTTTTTTGCTGTCTTCACTTTTAAGACAGTTTGCTCAAATTATACAATATTTAATTAATATTGTTGTTATGCAAGTTTATTTATCGAAAAAACGTAATGGAACTTCATCTGTGAAAATTTCTAAAAATCTCCACAAACCCCTTCTGATAATAATCATCTGCTCACTAGTGACTGACTTCAAGAGATACTCCTGGAGTTCTAGTGGGAAGCCGTTACCAGTGGAGTACAACCAGGTCTGTTGTGAGATATCAGCTCACTGAAGACAATGGTATATGGTGGCGCAACTTCGTGGATTGGTTGAAGTTAGACATTAACACCGTTGGACGCCGGCTCAGTGGTCTAATGGTTAAGTGCTCGCGCGCGAAGCCAGTAGGTCCTGGGTTCGAGCACCGCGTGGTGCGGGATCGTGGATGCGCACTGCTGAGGAGTCCCATACTAGGACGAAACGGCCGTCCAGTGCTTCCAGGTTTTCAATGGTGGTCTAGCTTCAACTGACTCATGATTTCAATCTGTGAAAATTTCTAAAAATCTCCACAAACCCCTTCTGTTAATTAAAAATTGTTTTTTACATGGTAATTATGTAACATTATTCATGTGTAACCGATTTGAGAAAGAACACAGCTTGATTGTTAAGAAATACATTTTAAGCGAGATATGTCCTTTGGAAAGGATGATCCATGTTTTGAAATCCCTAAATGAGTGAGGTTCCAGTCACATACTAAAAGCCTAATATAAGGTAGGAAGTATTTGATGAATTTACAGTATGGAAAAACAATGCCTAATAAGGTGTTCCACCTTAATTCTCTTTGAGAATCAATGCACCTTGGGTAACTTACTTTGACGGCGGTATTAGCAAAGGAAAGGCTCTCTAAAGGATGCATCTCAACAAAGATTATTCGGGAGCTAAATGCCCATATGTGTATAATGTAAACCTTAATGGTATGTAGTTATCACAAAACAGCCGTGTTTATTATCGCTTCTCTTTGCCACATGTAAAGTGCATTAATAGTGATAGCCAACCGTATTTAACAAATTAAATCATGAATAATCGGAGACACTAACAATTTATGACACGGCAAGCCAGTAGTAGGCTAATTACAATCATAGACACATGTTGAGCCTAATGTCCTCAATATCTGACTCCAATAAATAATATCCCGCAAACTGAGTATTTAAGGTAGGCTTAATCTCCTAGTAGAATTACGGATTTACTCGAGATTATTCAGAAGCCTAAACACCAGTTGTAGAGACAATTTATTGTTAATGATTTATAAAAATCCGCAAGCGTACAGCGAGCAAGCACACGATGAAACAGAGTGTGTGTGTGTTAAAAATCCATATATATTTTTGAGAGTTAATCGGGTGTGGATAAATTATCGGTTATCTGCACATTGCAACCAATAGGAGGATAGCTTAAGTGTTAATGTACAGACATGCATTCTATCATACACACCGAAATTAACATAGTGAATTAAGAGTCAGAAATGGACACAGAAATTAACATGATGAATTAAGTGTCTGAGTTACAATGAGTAGACAAATGATACAGTGGCCAAGTGGGCTTGCCACACACCACGCCACAGCGTCATTTACATACACTTTAAAACAAGGTAGCAACCCAGACGAAAACATGGGAACATTCTAACTGATAAATTAACTATTTTTTATGAGAAATACGGTAGACGTCCAAGGAATTCATTTAACAGATAATTTTGTAATCAACCTTATCCTTATTCATAAGTTTATATTAGTTGCATTTTATTGTGAAACATTCAACAAATATTACGAGCTATTTGAAAAGGATGGTGGTATTTTTCCTTACTGAAATACTTTTGTTGATTTGATAGTTAATTACGCATCAAGACAGCTGTTTTCGCTTTAACTAAATTTATTTTAGTTAAAGTAATCGCTAAGTATATCGTTTTTTCGAAAGTAATTTATCATCTGTATTTCTGAGTACATTGGTTCTTTTCGTATTTATTTGCACTTTTGGTTCGAAAATTTTACAGTTTTTAACTTTTTCCTGTCATCAGTTTCTTTTGTCTCTAGGTATTGTTTGTGCATAGATTCTTTTTGAGAATCTTTGATTAATGAATGGACAGTGGAAAAAATCAATACCCAACGCACGGGCTATCGAAACTCTGTGGAAAGTGGCATGCAGTGCGATGAGTATAAAGGATAGTATCACGAAACTTGCACGAATTTAACACCTGTGCCTTCCAAAGTATTTGGAACAAATGGATGTATGTGTTTGTGATAGCAGTGATGCTGGGACGCAAACAGCTTGCTAACCGAAGCCACTCAATTGGTGAATGCTGCTAAAAAGCATCTTTACAAGCGTAATTGAGATGGATAAAATGGTGCTCACGTTGTCAATACACAAATCGATATGAAAATACCTCAACTAAGCTCAGAGTCTATTAAATTACATGGGCAGACGGAAGAAGGTCTATAAAGAGGTTTGTTAGAAATAAAAACTCAAGAAAGTAAGTTTCTTCTGTCCGTCACTCTCCAAATGGTAGCGAGCAAGAAGACGTATTCGTAAAACCAGGTCTGTTTCTATCAGGAAAAACAACCTGACTACCCAAGTTATCGACAATCATTCAAGATCTCGCAGTCTAAATAACGCGTCTGTGATTGCTACTCCAGTGAAAACTGATGAGTAGGTATAAATCAAGAATGAGAAACGACCTAATATCGTTAAAGAAAAACCAGTCCTTCAAACTATAGCTGATAAGTTTAAGGCTAATTATAATGAAAGGTCAATTGTCTTTTAGAGTCAAGGAGACTGAAAGGTCAGAATGTAGAACTCGCTTTAAGCTGAACATTAGCTTGATAGAAAATTTGCTAAACTAGCTAGTGCGTCAGGATACCTCTAGAATCGCCTTGCTGAAGCTTTATAAAATAGGTAGCCAAGTGAACTTAGAAAAAAACCAAACCAGGTCGCTAAAAGTGGTATTTAATTCTCTTAGTGAAAGGGACTTAGTAATGCGGAATGGACATGAACTTAAGAAGTCGGAGATCTTTACCCATAAGCGCTTGCCACTCGTAGATTTTTTAAAAAGGTGGGAGGACAAGAAAGAGCTATAACTAAGGTTAGATTCTGACAGAAGGGACCTTAAATTTGTAAATTTTAGGGTAGTGAGGCTTCGACAAAGAATGATGCTTAACCCACTTTGAGTGTAGCAAAAAGACATTTAAATGATCTTCGAGTCTGTTGGACGAACGTCCGAGGCTTGTTCAACGAGAGATAGAGGATAGGTGTACAGACAGACTCCACCAAGCTGGATGGAATCGCCCTCACAGAAACCTGCCTTACGCAGTCTGTAAACAGTTGGGAACGTGATTTCAAACGTTTCGCATCGGTAAGAGCCTACAGAATTCAGAATCATCGGGGGGGGAGTAATTCTATTCATTAGAAATACTATCCCATTTGCCGTTATTGATAACATACCCGTTAGTTATTTTCCACTTGTAATGCAAAGGTAGAGAGCTGCTGACTGGTTTGGTCTATCACCGTATAAACTACGAGATGAACAAGGTCTTCCCAAACTATTTAAACACTTAGTCACAAAGTAGTCGATATTTAATCTTGAGAGATTTTAATGCACCCACGGTAGATTGTAAAAATCTGAAGACTGAATTGTCAGAAAATTCTTTCGAACTGAAACTAGTCGATGAGGTTATAGCATGTGCTCTTTTGCAACAAGTGAATGAAACATTGATTCTGACATCACAATCTTTACTGAATACAGCTGAAGGTGCTTTGTCGCACCTTCGCACCATATCGCGATTGGCTAAACTGTAAAACATATCCCTCACAACAACTAACCAGTTTAGATCACGCATTTCTTGAAATATTGACTATCTTTCAAATATATATATTTGTGTTCCTTTATTCCTGATTTCTGGCTTGACTGGGTTTACAAAGCTGTTACGAACAAAAGATTTGTGGAGGAAGAACACTGATCTTTATTGTAAACTGTGGTCTGTAGTTATGAGGGGTCAGATGACAAAATTTTAGATCACTTGATCGAGAAATTCTAAATCACTTGTTGTTGAGAGAGAAACTCAAAGTATTAAGGTGACTATAAGCTATTATTGTGAATACCATCCCTTTCAATGATTTTAAAATTAATTTTTTCTACCGACATGTTGAGCCGGGTTCGTTAGCAGATTTGAAGTTGAACTTTTAATTTTGCACCTTGATTTTGTGTTTTGAAATTGTCATTCTGAAATCTTCAATATTGGGGAAACACATATGAAATGGGTATTTGGAAATCCACAAATAGAGTGTGGATACTTGGGAGTTGAAGTTCTGATTTCCACGTTCTTTGGTTCTAGAAGGATTTATCGAAACAGGAAAAATTTCTAGGAGCAATGATTATGGATTAATGAATCAAGTTTAATTGATAATTAAGCAAGATAGTCGACTACAGATGCTGGGTATATTCATTGATGTGTGGGCTAGAAATTGGGGGATCATTTTCGTACAAAAACCAAAATCCTACCTGTTATTTATTTTGTCTATAAAACTTCATAACACCTCTCCAGATATTTAACTACGCATTGCATTTTCAAGAGTCTAAATAAAGAAAGCAGCACTATAATATGGTTTTTTATGCTCTTGAACGATACAGGAAATTCATAATATGCCCTAATTCAAAGAATCTTAGAGAAAATTATTTTTCCATATGGAGTCAAGGAAAATGTCAAGCTTTGTAATTGATGAGTGGTGAAGATTCAGTGTTATTTAGCCGTCATTACGGTATCACTATATCATATCACGATTTAGCACATATAAAGGTTGTGCGAATCTCCCCACAAATGATGAAGCAGTATCAGACTTGAAAAAGTAATTGTAACATTGACTGGGATTCTCCTGCTCCCTTACTGATATTTTGCATTTTCAACCAGCCTACTACTACAGACGTAATTGGATGTTCGGATGTTTGGATGGAATAAAATTAAGAAAACAACCTGATTGTAAACTGAAAATGAATAAAACTATGGAGATCATTGAGAATAAATCGATTGTTTTCCACTGGTGTATTAT